CAATACTAAAGTGTGCAAGGTAAAGGGTACACATATCCTTGTCGCTTTACTTAAGGATATTTGCATTTTTTTGCTCTACTTGTTTCTGGGGTACAAGTAGGTAGTTGCAAGGTATTATTTGATATATTTTGAGCTCAAACCGCTTTGTTGTTTGGAAAAAAAGTCGAAATCCCTCCCAACTGTTCTCTCAATTTCGAATTTAATGGGTTTTTCGTGTAAAAATTCCGATTAACATCTAAAGTCAGTTATGGCGAAACATAAATCAATTCGGATTAATTTTTATTTGCCAAAATCATGTGGCTACTTTGTGAAAAATACAACAATAAATTCGGCACGTATTCTTGTGTACAGTGATTTAATTTTTTTTAAAGCGCAAACAGATTTGTGCTCCTCAGATTTAATTTCTTTTTTGGTCTTTTTGGCGAGCAAATAATATTTAGAAGTGCGCTTAAAGTCTTATAGGAGAACGTAGCATTGTTGTGAATGAGTGCGAAATTTCTTTCTTTTTATTACTTTTATTTTTTAATGTTAATTTTAATTTTTATTCAATTATTATTTTTTGACTGGTCGTTTCCTTAATTATTTTTCGCGTTTTTATATTTTTATTTCTTTTATTTTATTTACTAAAATAAAGTTTTTCTTCGTTTCACGTGTTCAATTTTTGACTTACCTTCTTGTTTTTCTGTCTGCCTCGCCGCCATTTGTCATTACTTCACGCCTTTTTGCTTACATTTTTCTTGCACTTCTGACTAAATTATTGATTTTTGTATTCAATATTCTAGCTCTGCGTCTCACTTTTACCTTTGCATGGTATTTTCACTTTTTTGACACTGAAATGTGGAAAGAGAGTGCGAAAAAGTGTATTAAAATGAAAGAAATGCCTAAGAATTTTGCGATATCTTAAAAAGTCCATAAATAAAAAAGTCTCCCGCTAAGTCAGACGTCTTTGACATACGGTGTAAATGCCTTTTTAATACAAAAATCGGTATGCCTTTGCCATACCAAAGCAGTTTCAAACCAATACATAAACATTTTTTTATTATGAGTAATTTTATTTTTATTTTTCTCCTTAAACACATTCTAAGTATATTTGCCCTCTGGACGGTGCGAACTACCTTTTCCGCAAGACATAATTCTTTTTAGCGGCTGCTTTTTACCTTGAGCATCAGCAACTAAACTACTAACCTACCCTACCACCAAGTGGCTCGTGTTGCGGCGCGTTTTTATTCTTTATTTCTTTTTAAAATTTTTTTAAATTTTTTTCTTCTTCTTATTTTTTGCTTATTTTGTTCCTTCTTCGGCGTCTGCCTTCATTTAACACCATGCAGCAACAACCCTCTGCTCAGCATGTTACTCTTTCTAATATGGGGCGATATGCCTACTCGCTGTTTACGCTGTCGCTCTATAGTTTGATTTGCTCGGTTTTGGATTGGTTTGTTGGTCTTGCTTCTAAGCTGAAATCAATGACCTTTGTTGCGATTATTTTTCATCCTTCCACACTTTTTGCATGCATCTATTTTCTTTCGGACTGTTACATAGTTTCTACTTTGCACGTGTTCTTTCTTTATATTTCTGCTTTATGAAATAAGTGCGAAAGTATAGCGAGCAAAAAGGCTGACAAAATTTTTTTGAGCACAGAAGGTGTTTAAAGAAGTTTTACGTTTAAGTTAGTACAATTTTTGGAAATTTTAGAGATATTAGAGGTAAATAAAAATGGAGCTTAGAGCTTCTACTCGCCGTTTTACTATTCGCTAGACACTCGTGAGATTGCTGTACTTGTGAGATCAATAAAGATATCAGCGAGCAGTTGAGATGAATGACGAAAGATAAGGAGAGTTAGTGCTAAGAAAGTTTTTTTACTTAATATCTGAGAGCTGGCAGAACACGCGTTAACTGCTTGAGCTTTTTTAATAACAACAAACTATTATATTTAATGCTTTTTCGTACCTTCTTTTATTATATATTCTATGCCTTAATTTCCGCACTTTTTTCATACAACACTTACACTTTCTATTCCATACACTCTGGATATGTATTTGAAAAGACTGCGATTTGCCACTTGAGTTAACCTAGAAAACGACTTAACATTTTTTAAATAGTGCCAACAACAATAATAAACAAGTAATCATCAGCATATTGCAGCAAAAATAATAATAATAGACACAAAAAAGAAAAAAAAATTGAAAGTCATGTGAAATAGGCAGCAAAAAGTGTTAGTAGTGAAAACAAAAGATTTCAATCGATATTACAACAATAACATGAGCCACTATTTGTGCTGAGTAGATACTTGTAGAAGTGTGGAAAGCGTGCGCCATAGCGACGTTGCTGCTGCATTTGCACAATAAGCGATATATACGTACTCCTCATATGTAACTACACGTATAATATGTCCGGCGACAAGTGTGATGACATTCAAGTAAATGCATAATTTGCTGATGATTTATGAATAAATTGAATTTTTTTTTTTCAAATTTTTTTAAATTAAAAAATTTTTTTTTCTATTATTTTTCATACTTTTTGTAACTTTTAAATTTTTTCTGGATACACTACATTTTTCAACACTTTCCGTAACTTTTTTTAATTCTTTAGTAATACTTGAGACATTGGCAACATTTTTATACTTAATTATAATATGAGAAAATGCTGTAGCGACATGCGTACAAACACATAGATGTGCGTGTACGTGTATGCGTCGTATAAGAGGTTAATGAAATGTGGCAGATGACACTTAATAATAATTTAAATAACAATGGGTGCTTAAAGTGGCCGTCGGCCGAAGTGGCAGTGAAAAATGAGGCTAAAAATTAAGATGCATAAAAATATTTATAAGAAACAAATAATAATTATGATAATTTCAATGAAATGCAAACAATGTGTTGCCACTTGCGTCGGCCAGCGAAATAATTGACTACTTGAACAAAAAAAAAAAAATAATAATAATAAAAAAAAAATATTAAATTAAATATAAAGAAAATAAAATATGTAAATAAAAAAGAAATACGACAAATAAACTTTGTGTTTTATACCGGAAATATTTTGTATACGCGTTGTTGTTGTATAGCGTGTATTGATGCACTTTAAATAGCAATTTGACAGTTCGAGTGCATTACCGTTGTATTTTGAGCACTAACTGTCAATAGGCGCATTTTATGAAAAGTAAAAGGTAACTGTTAAGTGTCCAACCTAAGCTGTCAACTTCACAAGCGGAAGTGTCAAAACAGTTAAAAAAAGTGAGTGGAGCAAGAGAAGAATAATGAATTAAAGCTTAAAATATAAACGAAGTTAAAGTATAGAAATGGGAAAGTAAAGCCAGGTTAAAAATAATAAAATATATAAGATCAATATATAATGAATTAATTAGATTAGTATATAAAAATTCGTGGCAATATTACAAATTCGTTGTACTTCAATAAAAAAACCAAAAATTCCAAATGTAAACAAAAAATTAAGCTAATTTATTTTAAAATTGTAAATATAAAAAATCAATAAGAAAAGCAAAATAATTGTAAAATGTCTGATTTTCAGCGTAATAAAATTAAAAAATTTTAAATTTGCAACAAAAAAAAAAAATAAATAAACAAAATTAAAAAAAAAATTCGCCAATAAAAAACTATAGTAATTACAGAAAGTATAAAAATAGCTACAAATAAAAATAATAATAATAGTTTAAACTTTTAAAATTTTTTAAATTTAATTCATAAATTTTAAACTATTAATAATATATCAAATAGAAAAAATAATGAAATCGAAAACTAATAAAAAAAAAAACTTAACAAATATCAATAAATAAAATTCAAAGTTATTATCGAATTTCTATATTTAACTTAATTGAAATTATAATTTAAGAAAAATATAAAAATTTTACAAATAAAAACTTAATAATGAACTAATTATATTTGAGAAAAAAAATCATAGAACAAATATTTAAAAATATTTACAGCTACTATAATTAAGTTTAAAAAAAATTATAAGCATTAAGCTTTTAAAACGGAAATTGTGAATTCCATATATCTTGCACAAGCAATAAAATATTTAACGCAGATAAAATAATAATTTTATACATGATTTCACTGCCTTTGAAATATTTTGCTTACCAGCCATGTGCCGCTATTCAAGCACAACTGCATCTAAGGCTATCCATACACTACTTAACACAATACTGACTAACCACCCACATCATTACACGGTAAAGAGCTTTGTCATCCTGTATACGGCATAGCCATTCATTCATTATTCAATCTTCAACTAAGTATTTGCATATTCAAAAAGAAAAAAGAAGAAAAAAAAACACACACACAAACAGTTATTTATTACTTTACTATAATTTACGATATATTAAAATTTCAAGTCGTAAATTTGATTTTAGCTCTATGACACAATACTAAGGAAAGAGAATAATAATTAAACAAAAAAGTTCTAGGAAAAACTACGTAAATGCTGCTTTCGAACTTAAAATGTTTTCGAGTGCTAGCGAAGCCTTTATTACTATTAAACAATACACTGTTTTTTTTTTTTTTCTTTTGAAAGTAGGCAAGTCATAAGTCAAGCAGCAATAATTAATTATGCATACCTCTATAGATTCTATATATGTTTGTCTCTCTCTCTCACTCACTCTCATTTCAAACACATTTCTAAGCAACTATTTCAGCTTTCGAAATGTTGGAAAAATAAATGTATGTAGTGAGCTCACGATTTTCGTTTAAAAAATGATTTAATTGTTTTCTACGTTTTAAACGGTTTTAAAATTTTTTTTTTGCTTTTTAAGTTATTTCCAATTTGCATACAAATTTCAGTATGTGAGTGCTGTTGAATGCGTGGAAAGTAACTTTAGAAATGAAACACAGTGTATGCGCAGTTGAGTATACACAAAAAATATATTTCTATACTTTGAGTACTTGTCATTGAATAATGTTATTTTCAATATGAAAAGTATTACATTTTATGCAAATTTTTTGCTATTCAAATTTTTAATGATTATATTTATTTCTATTTAATTACAGGTTACCCCAGTTAACGCTCAATGCCAAGAATACTATTTTACTTATGGTGAGTAAATTACTAGTTTTTCAGAAAATTAAATTTTAAATTAATTGAAAAATAAAAATAAATTAAATAAAATTATAGATATGGAGAAGATTTCTTTAGTTTATTCACATATTAAAATAAATAAATACTTTATTTTTACAATATAAAAAAACAACAAACCAGACAAGAAATTATGGAAAAATTACTAAAATTTGGCGTTACAAATTTTCGAAAAAAAAAATCCACTTAAAAATTCTCGCCAGCGCATCTGTTGCAACAGAAATTATCAACATAAGTGATCAGTCATAATGTGTCACATAAATTTTTGTATGATTATGCTTTGTCAACAACACTTAGCCCAATTGCCAGATACATATGTACATATATATGTACTCTACAAAAATAATGCAAAGGAAAAAAATATTGGATTTGTTTTGTGGTGTTTGTACTTAGGTATGGGAGCACTTGAAAACAGATTGGGTTGAACGCCATTGAACTGTGACAGAGAAGAGATCAGAAACACGCGGCTGAGCAATAAAATTGAAATAAATAAAAAAAATCGACTGATTCAAATATAGCAGTATTTTAATAGGCGTAAAAAACAAAAGCTATAAGTTTGACTCAAAAAAAAAAAAATATATATATAGAAAAGAATTAATAAATAATCAAGCTTTTGCAGGCGTCCAAATGGCTGAAAAATATTGAAAGAAATTCATTGCTGATAAAGCGCCATCAGAAGTTGTTGTGCCTATTTTTGTATGCATAATCGAATTTTCATTTTCAATTATCTCTAGTTCTCATGTTAAGTGTTGTGTTTTTTTTCACTATTTTGAAATTTACGATGTGAATCGCTTAGAAACTGAAATTTTCAGCCATACATGTCGTCAATTTTTGAAGCTGTTTTTAGTAGGGTGTATAAAAATTCAATTTTTTTAAAATTATTTTTTAATTTTATTTATAAATTTTTAAATATTATTATATATAATTATATATAATTATACATATTATTATTATTACATATTTCTTTTCTGTCCCATTGATTTTTTTGTGTTAACTTGTGTTAATTTTTTCAATATTTTTCGTAAAAATTTCTCATAACTTTTTTATTTTTTCTTAGTTTTTTATTTTATTATTTTTATAATTTTTTTTAAATTTTTTTTTTTAGTATTTAATGATAATTTAATAATTTTTTCGTAATTGATCTTAACTTTTTAAATAATTTTTATTAATTTTGCTTAATATCTTTATTTTTTAAAACCATTTCCCCATTTTTTTTTGTTTTTATAATTTTTAATTATTTAATTATCAATTTTTTAAAGTTTTTCTTCCCTCCTTTTATTTGTTTTGGTCATTTTTTTATAATATTTGTTTTATAATTTTTTCCTATTTTTCCTTAGTGATTTATTTTTGTCAGTTTATTATTTAGTTCCTTTGTTTAATTATGTTTTTTTTTGTGCATTTAGTCAACTACAACAATTGAATGAGATCTGTTACATTTGTGCTTTGATTTATGTCTCTCATTTGTCTGTGTTGTTTGGTTAGTGTTTTGTGGTGGTTCGCAGGGGTCACACTGTCGCCATAGATTATTTAAATTGTCGATTTTATATTTGGAAAGTGTGAATTTTGTAGCGGATATTGTGCTAGCTTGTAAAGAATATATGTATAGATTATTAAGAAATTTATAATGTTCTTTTCTTTTATTTTTTTTTTTGTTTAAAGAGAGCAAATAAAATTTGAATTTGAGATGTCGTAATCTGTAAAATTTGAAACTCATTTGCAATGAGCTTTTACGCTTTATTTATATTAATTTTTTTGTATATTTTGTTGGTGATTTTAAATAAATTTCTGTTGAAAATATTTTGGTATTAGCTTCGTTTCTCTTTATCTACGCTTGAAAGTAAAGCAAATAATATGATTTCTTATGAAATTCAATGTCTCATTATTATATCATCAATTTTTCTAGCGAAGTAGGCTCTCACAAACACATTAATCTTTTTAGATTTAATTTTATGTGCCACATATATAATTCTCTGAATTTTATTTCCATGAATTTCTAAAAAAAACTATTAGGTACTGTGCATTTGCTTAATACCTCTTTAAGGCCTTTCAAAAACGTTCAAAAGCGCTGGGATAATATATCATTAAGGAATACTCAAGAAACACACTAGTTAAAGAACTAGAAATACATAGAACACACATATATCATTACAACTTAATACAATATATTAAGACACACGAAGGTCAGAACACCATGTTTTGTGGTTTTCACAATTCTCTAAATCCCAAAACATTAACTAACCACTCATAATGGCTTACCGATATTGACATAGAGCAAGAGGAAAACTTACAAAATATCAAAAAATACATATTATAAAAAAACTTAAAAATAAAGGTAATATCTAAAAGATAGTAATACCAGAATGATATCACAATTGCGCTGATCAAAATGTATGTTTCCTTAGCGGCTCTTCGTATGTAGCCACGTGAAAAAGAGAACAGTAATTTAACAAACGCCTTCAAAAACAATTGTATACACTGAAAATTTGTGTAACTCTATGTGGTAACATTTAAATCCCATCAAGTGTTTGACAACGAATTTATCATTAAAAAGACCGCTAACGCAATTGAGTATTTTTTATATTTATTATCAATTGATTTATCAACTTTCTGCCTTAAGTTAAAATTTTGGAGACTTTGTCAGTTCTGAAGACCTACAAAACACTGCAAAATGTAGAAGAACAGTTAATTAGCAGTTGTACGTAACAAAAAACTTTTTGGAGATTTTCAAAAATTTTGGAGACTTTCAATTTTTTTTGAGACTTTTGTTTTTCTTATGTATTTGTATTAAAAAACTTCCAATAATCAATCAATTAAATTAAAAACTAAAAAAATCTTTCATCAATTGGCATGCAATAACAAAGTGTTAAATGCATGATTTACCAAAGGTTGTATCCTTCAATATATGTTTGTAAGTTTATGTGTTAAATTCCACTATTTACTGGCAATTTGGTGAAATCATAACTGGCCAACACCTGAACCCTAAAATGTAAGAGCCAACAAAGCTTTAGGGTATTTAAACAAATCAATTTTAATTACACTTTGTGCAAATAGCGTAGTATTATTACTAAATATATATAACTACATACATACACATATACCACCAACTTTTATGTAAGAAAATGAAAAATATAAAAATCGATTTCGTTTTTTCGTTGTAATCAATCATACTGCTTAAGCCTATACATAAACCAGACGGCTTACGCGTGGTGCAAGTCAATGATAGATAGACTGAAACGCTTTAGGCACGCGCTGTAAGTGTGAGTGAGTGTGGTATAGTGGTATATATGGTATGACAGGACAACGACAGTGGTGCGGCAAGTGAAGAAAAAGGAAAGCAAGAGTAACATACATAAAGCGTGTAGCATTTCTTTAATGCGACAAGCTTAAAGGCGCACTTTATGGCATATTTCTAGCGAAAGAAGCTGTCAACGCTTGATAAGCATGGGCAGAAAGATAGAGGCAAGATGATGATGCAAGAAATGTGGTGTCTCAGTCGTAAACAACGTGCAAAATCATGAAGGAAATGAAGACTTTGGCAGTCAGTGGGGTTTAATGAAACAAAACAAAAGATATGTTGTCTCAAAAAAGGCAAAAATAAGATTAGTTGAAAAAACTGTAAAAAGTTAAATTAAATGGCATTTATTGGTTGATGGACTAATTTCCTGTATTATGGCATTATATATTTTCATTTATCTCTTTCCAATAAGTTTCCTATGCCTTAAGGTATTTAGTTGAGTGCTTATGCAACATTCTTGTAAACATATATTTTTTTCCTACCATTAATTATGCCTATTTTAATTGAAAATTGAACTTAAATCCAATTTATTCCCCGTTTTTATGACTTAAAGCTCAGAAGCCTTACATCATATCTATATAGTCTTACTGGCACATAGTTATGTGGGCTTAAGTGGCCTTAATTTAAATCGTTCATTTTAAAAAGGTGATATTAAAGCGCCAAGAACAAATGGCTGGTTAAAGTTTCAACTCTCCACGGCAGGCTTCAAATAGTAGTCGGCGCGCAGAGACGCATCCCTTTGTCTCACTTGCGGCAAGAATTTTTATTAGCTTCTGTTATGCGATGCAGACTGTCTGTCGTTCAGCGATGGCAGCAGTTGCTGACACAAATACTGCATACAACTTTAAAACAAAAACAAATTTGCGTCAAAGTACGTCTAAAAACTGGCAGGCCATATGCGACATTGGCAAATCTATTTTCAACATGAGCGCATTTCAATAAATTCACATTTAATGCCATAACAATTGTGTCCCTCTGTCGGCTCTGTCGGCTCTGTAGGCCGGTAAGCCATCGAGGTCGTCGGTTAAAATCCCTCCATTTAATTGTTGTTGCTACTGCGGTAGTTAGTTTATTGGCATAGCAGAGTTTTAAAGGTAAATATTGCTTTACTCCTAACGGCAACCAGCCAACGAAGTTGAACATATATATATATACTTAAGGCTATATATGTACAAGTATATACAATACTTTACACACTTGCCTATTTGCCACTTCTGCATAGCGGCGCTACAAAGGATTAAGCTCTTAGGCTTGTGGAGAGCACCTGCAGTCTGCCGTTTATAAATATTACTGAAATAATCCTTTTGAAAAATGTTTCGTTCACTTTAGTTTGTGTTGGTAGAAAGCTTATGCATGTTGGGTGTGATATTTAGGGGCTTCTCAACTTAATAATATAAATTTCAAAACTTCAGTATCAATAGCTCTAAGATTTTTAAATTAAAAATTTGAGAGTTTTTTGGCACTATATTGATTTCATGGTAGTTAGAGACTTTTAATTAAGGAGTTTCTGATTTTTCTTAAAGATTTTTTAGCTCTGTAGAGTTATGAGGTATTGCAATTCTATTGGATATTTTTTCAATTTCCAATTAATTTTTTTTAATATAATAAAAAAGTAAAATAATAGTCTAATTTTTTTTTTGGAGAATTTCAAAACTTTTGGAGACTTTCGATATTTGTGTAGACTTTTGCAATATTTGTGTTTTATGGGATTTTGTATATTTCAGAACTTTTGAAATTCAAAATTTTTTTTAGAGAATAATTTTTATAGCGTAAGCTTAAAACATATTTTAAGATCATGTATTTATCTATGTTTTTTAAGAAATAAAGGCTCCTAATACACACATTTGCTTGCTACCCTTTTAAATTGCGTAAATATTAACGAAGCCAGCATGACTACTAGTCTATTAACGTGAGGGATCATATGTATGTACAGATGTAAATTTATACACATGCAGCAACATATGTATGTATATATGTACAAATTTATACATACATTGCACGATATGCAGATTTTGTCACTCTTTTTTATTTACTGAATTTCGATTTTATTTCTTTTTTCTCTTCAAAATCTTTGCCACACACACACATTCGTGCACAAGCACATCTCAAAAGTGCAAAAAAATTTTGTTGCCGTGATTGTATCACGAGAAGTCAGAAAAAAATTGATATGACATTATAATCCGACACGTTACACACTTGTCAGCAAAAATATAGAAAAAAAGCAGAAAAGCGCCAACATACACACCTGCAATTTGAGTGTTTTTGAGCAACAGAAAATATGAAATAAATAAAAATGGTACAAAAAAGAAATAAAAAATAAATGAAAGCGTTGAGAAAAATCGTAAAAAGTAATAATAAGAATAAAAATATACTCAGCCTAAAATTTGTAGTATGAATATATGTACATACATATATCTATCTATATGTATATGTATATTTATTTACCTAGAATGGTTTCATGCACTATATGCAAGCAAGCTTATGAGGTGCATAAGCATTTTTATCTTTTACATATTAATGAAAAAATATATATTTTTTTTTGCTGCCTTGTGGTTAATAAGTGATTTTGAGCTTTCATGTGCATAATATTATTTTTATTATATTTTTAATATTTTACAAAATTTTGGTATCAAATAACACAGCCTTTGGTGGGTTTTAAGGAAGTACTTCCGTGCAGACAGCTGTATGTATAAGTATTTACATTTTAGCAGTCACCCTTCCTAAATACTCTACAACGTCTAGTCAGAGGTTGCTTATTAATTTTCCCTCCAATATCCTCCAGTAAGTGACCTTAAATGTCGTACCGTACTTCAATTTCATTAATTAGTTGTTCCTCTTTTTTTAATACTAAATTATCACATCAGTTATAAGCATATATATATAGATGGCAGGCAGACGCCCCTCTCAGCGCACAAGTGAACCCAAGATTCTTCTGTCTTTCTTTCGTTGTAGCTTCATGCCTAGCATGCACGCTCACTCCGTCTGTCTGTCTCAATATCGATGTCATCATCATCATCAATTTTGTCTGATTTCATAAGCATTTTGCATACGCTTTTTTCGCCCGCTTTATTATACCACTTTTGATAATTATTATTATGGTGGGAATTTTTTTTCGGTAGACGTCAAGCAAGTTGTGTCTTTTGTTCGGTCAAGCCATAATAGTCAGCTGCTGGCATAGTAACCGGCGTGGCTCTGACGCAAATACTCATATTCAAGCATATATGTAAATTTGTTTTCCACCGCTGCTCTTTGTGACACTTTGTTGGAGCATTTCAGCGAAGACTGTTCCTTTGAAATTTTTTTATATACAATTTTTGATTTTCTCCATTTTTTATGACTTTTTTTTTAATATTTTTTAATTTTTTTTACGCTTTAAGCTCTTTGTGTGAAAAAAGTTAAAGAATTTATGAATTGCATTTTAATTGTCGGCTATGCAAATAAAATGACTAATAAACTTGCTATTAAATGTGCGCGCCGATGACAATATTTGCATTTTTATTGTGACGGTATATCAACGCTTAATCCATGGACCCAATCGATTTGCTAACACTACGTATGAGCGCATGTATGTATGGACGTATGGATGTAGTAGTAGCGATATTGTTAAGAACATGTTTTATGATAGCGCCTGGAATGCTAATGAAAGTCATTTAGATAATTGCCTGAGATGCGATAAAGTAGTGTTATGTCAGTTGGAGGATTAAGAACATTCACACATAACTACACACATGTGTGTATGCGTAGCAGCACGGACAAAAGGTCGTGAGCAAGTGAAACTGAGAGTTAAAAGTTGTTGGATACTTTGTGCTAGTTTTCGTACAAATAATGTTTAGGGAAAGATTAAATAGAGAAGTATAGAAGAAAATATTTATTTGTCTTAAATAATAAAAAAAAATAATAAAAAAAAGTATGGAGCATTAAGAAAAAAATTAAAGCTTAGCATATAAAACAATTGAAAATATTTCGGCAAGTTTCGAAGTAGTACCATTTGAGCAGTTTTTAGGTATTTTATGAAAATTTCTTGCACTAAATTATACACGTTTTTGAATGTTTTAGTTTTGCAAAATTTAAAAATTTAACTGCTTTTAAAATTTCAATATAATGAAAATACCTTGCAATAATAGAAGTTGTAAAATGCGAACGATTTTGAAAGTCTACAAAAATTTCGAAACTCTCCACTATTTTGAAGGTATATTAATACCATTTAAATCCATTTTCATTTATGGTTTTAACCTTTAAGAACCAGTTCTTTTTAAGTTTACATAATTTTTGCTTAAGGTTATTGTTTGAGAAGGCGCTATACTGAAAAAGTTGTTGTTCTTTGAATGTTATATTATTAATAATTTGTTTTCTCTCTCGTTTGCTTTACAGGTAATGTTTGCCTTTGTAGTTCCAGCTTATACAAAAACAAAAGACTATGTCCTAATGCTAACGACCCACAACGACCGAGCGCTACATATAAATGACGTCGGCAAGGTGACTGCAGCTAACATAGCATTTGCACGTAAGTTTCAATTTTCATAATAAGTGCTAAATATTTTTATTAAACATAAATAAAAAAAAATATACGAATAGAACTTTCCCTTAGATTTTGCATACCTGCAAATATATACGATATAATTGTAAATTCATAGTAAAAATTGTAAAAATGTATGAATTTTCAAAAGTAATGGAAGATTCGAAAATTTTGAAAAATCTCCAAAATGTTGAAAGTTCTCCAATCAATGAAAATCTCTGAAATAATGAGAATATCCAGATATTTTGAAGTCAGCAAAATTTTGAAACTCTAAAAAGCTTGGGGAATTTTGAAAATGTTTCAATTTTTTGTTTAGATTTCTGCATTTTTAAAATTGCACACTGTTAATTAAATAAATTTACAGTCAACCGTATTGATTCACTCCTGGATATTTTTTCTGCTGAGTTGAATGTCTGTGAGCCGCTTAAAAAATTCATTTAAATTTGTTATGCATAAAAAAATCAAGCTCAACTTTTAACTCCCTCTACACAATAGTAAGATTTATTGGCAGTCAATGTCATAAAAAACCACATTGTGTCGCTGTCTACACGCAACTTTTAATGCTGTGCGTTTGTACGGGTGTTTGTGTTATAGAAATTAAGAAATATTTCGATTCCTCAACTCAAGTACATCTTAATCAACTGTAAGCTGGCAACGTTCTTTGCATTTTCGCCGAATGAGTGTAATAAATTTTCATTGGAAATCTTTTTATTATTTAATTTTGCAAATTTTTAATTGAATTGGCTTTTAAACCTAACCTTTTTTTATAGAGCTTGCGACTTTCTTCACTCCATCTTCTCATATCCAAACGAATTTTTTGAGATCTCTTTTGTTGTATTTTTATTGTATTTATTTGATAACGTTCAATATCGTGTTCGTTTATGTATATATCTATGTATATCAGTAGCAACTTAATTAAATTATGGTAATTTAACATTTTATTGAGGTTGATTTAAAGTCCTCACATGTTGAAGCACATAAATTTATTATTTAAACACAGGAATGTTGCTGCATGACATTCGTTATGAAAAAAAAATCTATTATTGAAAAAAAAAAAACACATGAAAAAACTGCAACTCTACATTCAATAGTATGATATGGTAGAGGTTTTTTTTTTATTATCAACGTCACAGCTGGCCATTGATGGCGCCATCTGTCAGTTTAAGTGCAAGTTGGTTTTGCGGTTTGGTAGCATATCTAGTGATATATATATACATACATACATACACACATATTGAAATATTCCTGAAGGCGTATTCTGAAATACAGCGTTTAATTATTGTTATTATTTTGATTGTCACACACACATACATACATATGAACATTCGTATGACCGGTTGGCTGACCGTTTATCGCTGTAATAGTGCAACTTAATAACTGTGTATAAAATAAATAAATGTATGGGTAACTCACGGTTATACCTACAAATAAATATACGTACATTTGCACATATACAACAACTAAAAATGTAGGTGAAGTTTGATTATTATTTTATTATTTTTTTTTTGGCGGTTTTGCTTGCTGTCAAAAACGCCACAAGCAAGTGTCGCTCATTGCGATTTTCTAGGTCGCTTCATTAATAAAAGCATATGACATTTTGAGCATTGCACAGAGATTTTTTCTTAGAAATGAAAAAAATCAATGCTGTTTATGCGCTAAATCAGTTTATATATCAACATACATAAATACATATGTTTGTGACTAGGTCGCACAGCATGGGTGGGCATTTCAATTTAATTAGCTTGAAATCATTTGTGTAACAGTTCTGAGCGGCGTAAAATGTGATTGTCAATTGAAAATTTTCCTTAGTTGCAAGAAAATCGGGCTGGAAATATGTTTTAAATAGCTTAAAGTAATTAAAAGCAAATAATTTTGTATCTTTCTTGTTCAAATAGATGTGAAATTGCCAAAAAATGAGTTTTTCGGAAAAGTCTACAGACTTTTCAAATAAAAAAAACTGTATGAAATGGTTCAAAAAAAGTTTATTACACTCATAAGTGACCAAAAAATCAATATAGCGCTCCATTTGAGAAAGTCTCCAAACATCTCTAGTTTGCAAAATATCAGTATTTGCTTAAAGCTTGCGCTGCACAAAGAAAAACAGGCTTAGTAATACTGTAAATTTACTAATTTTTTAAATTAAATTTGATGACATGCAGCGATTTAAGTCTTCCTAAGCATTTTTTTTCACAATTTTTACACGAAGAAATAAGTCTTCACCTAATTTTACCGGTCATTACTGGCATATAAATGGAGAATAATCAAAACATTGCTCGTGTGCAGACAAAACAAATATACCTAATCCAAACATTATTCGTTTGTGTACTGCTTTCTACTGATGTACAATACATAAATACATATATACACGTACATATACAAATATGTGGAGTTATCTGCAGCGATAAAATATGTGCATTTTTTTCTTAAGCAGTTATTGCTTTTTATGCCTATTTTTCATACTAAATCATATACAATAGAGTAGACAATACATTAAAAAACTAAATAACGGTATAAATGGGAGAAGACGGGCGATTGAAAATAAATCGTAGCACCACCACTTCTATAAATCTTATATAAACAAGCGATAATATAATCAAATGTTCAGTAATAATAAAAAACGAAAGAAAGCAAGAATAAACGACACTAACAACAAAAGTGAGGCAAAAACCAAAATACAAAAATAATGCTAAAATCGTAAATCGTAAATTGATAAAATTCCATAGTAGTATAAGTTTGTATATGAATGCGTAATAATATTTGGATATTGTTTTTGTTGCACTTTATTTATTTCTGTATTTTTTTTTTCAAACATCATTTCTGGCACATTGCAGACTTTTTTGACATTTATAAATTGATCGGCTTACTATAAAATTCATATTGTTTTTGTAAGCAAAAACGTTGAGAATACTACCACCACAGCTACCGTTATATAGCGCTACGTCATGTCATTGGCATTTGACTTGTCCGAAGTTCGAATTAATTATTTCAAATACATACGTGTATGTATTTGCCTGCCTAAATATACTGCGGTTTTTTTCATATATATTATTTAGTGGGAAAATAGTCAATATTGTTATTTTTTATCGGACTTTAGCACAAGGAACTTTACCACATTTGTTAGCAGATCAAAAATGACTTTAGAGACATAAATGATGTTTTTCTGATAGTCTACACATTCTTCAAGAGTAAGAATATACAAAATTTTTGCTTAAATAGTGTTTGAAACAAAATTCGACAACATTGTTACGAAAAGTGATGTTTGACAAAAAGTCTCCAAACTCTACACTAGCCAACAAATAAAAGGAAATTATAGAATTACTAAATTTACATATTGTAAAAAATTGTGGGGATTTTCAGCAGTTTCCAAACTCTACACTCGTTTCAGTTTTAAGTAAAAATAAGAATAAAAATTCAAAATTCAAAAAAATTATATTTTGCTCAAATACTTAACTATTATTATTTCCATTTACAATTTGCGAGTAATTTCATGATGTGATCATGATTATTTTGCCAATAAATAGAGTGTTAAGTATTGGAAAAAGAGTATTTAACAAATTTTATAACAATTACTTGCAATTACTTTTAGCTTTCTTTGTTTCTAACTGTTTCACCATTGCTAGTGTTTCACCAATCAGTGAAAACAATGTAAGAACTTTCTACGTTTTCATTATCTCGAGTGATAAAGCAAATATTAAAACGTGATTCCAGGAAATTAATCTCTTAGTAAGCAAATGCCAATCGCCTTATTACCTTATTATACTACGAGCACTCAACGGCGACACCGGGGCGTATACGTAATATTATTATCTCAAGTATGTGGTTTATGCTTTTCTGATCGTAAAATAAGAAGAAATATTGCGTGCATACCCTAAAAAAAGAACAGTAAAACGGTAGTAAAACAAAAAGGAAAACGAAAGCCAACCGAGTTTAAAATATTTGCACTCATACGTATTGCAGTTATTTTTAAACTCTGATCGATATGTGATAACCGACAAATATGTACATTTGTGTGTGTACCTGCACTAATTGGCATACCTTTAAACATTTGAAATACAATCTAAATTTAAATGTTTAATTTAACTTTAATTTTCTTTATAATTTTTAATTTTAACTTTAACTCTCATTTTGATTTAAATTTTCCTTTGAATCTTTATTGGAATTGTAGTTTTATTAATTTTATTTTTTTTATTTTGTTTCGTCCAGCATTTACTTAACTTATGTACCGTTATTTTCTGCACAACAAAAAAGTAGGTTATCGCAAAAAAATTTTAGATATGGATTTGATAGCAATATTAATAGTTTTCGCATGTAAAATATTAATGAAATATTTATTTTTATACTTAGTTTGTATCTATGCAAAAAGCGTAATAAATAGCTCGACCTTGAATTTTACTAATTGAAGTTTTCTGTTCTTTTGCAGAGCCTATAAGCATGGATATTGTTGGTGATCCATTCAATGGCGATCCATTTTTTATAACGCTTTATGCCAAGCAAGTTGGGCGTTATTTATGCTTTCGACGTGGCAGACTAGAGGGATTGGTAAGTTAAATATTTTTATTAATATTATTTATGGTAATTTAATTGTTTTAATGCTTAAGAATATTTTTCTTCTAAACTGCAGTTTATTGTTCATCAGTTTAATATGTAGTTAAAACAAATAGAAATAAGTATCAAAACCAAAAAAATGGACCAACTCTCCAAACTCTCCATTTTCACAGAAACCGATTTTTAACATATTTTTCAATTAAAATCTGTAATTAGAGATAAAATAACCAAATGACACAAACTCTTCAAACTCTCCACTTTTTTGGAAATTGTTATTCACCTTGTCTTTCAACAGAAACATTGAACTAAACCTAGGATAACGGACAAAAATCATATTTCTAAAACTCCTCATTTTTTTCTAACTGATAATTGAACTAAAATATTTAAGCAACAAAAAAAAAAAATAAAATTTTTTAAACTCTCCAAAATATAGATTTTTTAAAATACTCCTAGTTTAACATAAAAAGCATTAAAAACAAAAAAATTCGAAATAATTTTGCAGATGGTTTTGCCATGTAGGCTTTAGAAACCAATACATTTTATTTATTTAATTAGTTTTCCAAGCTGCAATCTTTCCAGTTAATCTAAAATACCACAAGTGTTACTAAATTAATGATCAATTAAAATGATAGCTTTACTTCTTCAAGTGGTTAATGCGGTTGAGAAGTGATTATTAATAACGAAAATATATAATATTAAATTTTACATTTACTTCATAAGTCTCCAACATTGCCAACGCCATTAACTAAACACACCCTTCTACGATAAGATCGCCTATCTACGTCGAGCAAAATCGTATAATGATCAGTCTAATAAATTTATCAAATAGTTTTTGAAATTCATTTGATTTGACTTTTATTTTGGTGGCGTGTGAAAACAAAATGGTTTTACACCAAGCAAATTAAATAGCGAAATATTTATGTGAGATATTTATGGGCAGGGGGATTTCATTAGATTCTGATTGAGACCTATAATTTGGCATTGGAAATTCCAATGACGAGCTTAGAGGGCGAAAATATTACGACTTATTTACGTTAACGGCAACATAAAAGTGGCAGGTGAATATACGTGCATATATACATTTTGCGGATATCAGTCTTAAGAGGACACTCGAGGGAAAAATATTTTGAAGTGGCGTAAAATAGTTTTAGTTTTTGTTGTTGCCCACGTAGAATAATAAAATGATAGTTATGATATTAATCGAATAGGTTGGAGATAAATAATTATTTATTATTAATTTTATTAAATGCAATATTTTTTATTATTTGCGTTCTGTTTTCATTGATGATGTTTGATTGCAGACAACTGTGACTAATTTTTCCAATTTTTTTCCTCCTCTCTTCTTCTTGCAGAAACAGCTCACCCGCGATTGCCATTTCAGTGAGACCATCGAGCATGGCCACTACATGTACGCGAATGCCTACAACTCAACGTTAAGGGTGGGCTTTACAAAGCGCTTTAAGCCTATCGGACCGAAGCGTCTGAGGCATGGCCACAGCTTCAGCAAGGATCATTTCCTTTTTGAGCGCCGCCGTTTAGAGGATATTATCATAAGTAAAATCACCGCGCCGCGCATAGTGAAGCCAAAAACCACAGTCTCCACCACTACCACAACCACAACCACAACAACAACAACCACCACTACCACCACTACACATACACCCAAAGTCACGCGCATCCAACGTTTTCGAAATAATGCACATAAAAACACCAACAGCAATGACAATAGACAGGAGACCCCACAACAACAACCACAAAACACAACACAGCAACAACAAGAACTGCATACAGAAGCTGCAAAGAGTATTACTAATAATAATAATAGCAATAGCAATAGCAATAACGGTAAAAACAACAATAATAAACATAATGATAGCCATAGTCAGAGCCAGCATAATAACAATAGAGTTAACAACAACCACAGCAACAACAACAAAGTTAATAAGCAACAACAGTCCATCACGGGCAGTTTGCTGGAGGAGCGCCTTCGCGAAATGACGCCACGCGCCGAGCAGCATCCCTTGCGTCACGACCGCAATAGTATTGAGCGCAAGCAGCAGCAACGTCGACGCCAACACAACCGCCGCAGGCAGCAGTTAAAGCGCCAGCAACAGCAACATCTATCATCGACGAAAAATGTGATGCGTCATCATCACAACAACAGCACAAAAATGGCACGCCGACGTCAACACGAACGCGAGCAACTACTCCGTAAGCAAAGTCGTCAACGGCAGGTCATGTTGGCGCGACATGAGCGCGAACAGCTGCGACAGCAAGATTTCACGTCGACACGCGGTCCCGACGCGGCAGCCAGTTCATCGGCAACAGCAACAGCGGCGTCAGCGCTCACCGCGACAGCGGTTTCTTTGGTGCCAACAACGCTAATTGATCTAATGGCTATGCTGGCGGCGACGCGACGTAAGCGCGGGCGGCGGAAAAAGCAACAAGTGGCAGAGACTGAGGCGGAAAACGAGAACGCAAGCGCGGGCGCGGGTACCAGCGACACAACTAATAGCGGTAACGGTAGTGGTGGTGATGGCGCGCAAGCTGATATGCAAATTGCGGTGGCACATGCAACGCCAAGTGATGCAGCGAGTACTGATGTAAAGCGACAAAAAAAGACGCGGCCGGTGCTGGAGCGGTCAGTCGAGCGCGCACAACGACGCGCTGCTCTAACTGCTGCTATGCAGGGCGACTTTGCTCTACCAGTGCATAGACATCGGCATCAGTATCCGCTACAACAACAACAGCAGAAACAACTACAACCAGAGCGGCGATCGCAGGCCGTTGTGGAACCAGTGAGCGCAGCGCCGCAAAATGTTGCTGAGCAACAAACAGACGAATACTCAAATAGTTATGTTAATAGTAATTTTAATCGTAATTATAAAACCATAAATACCAATACTAATAATGCTAATGCTAATTTTAATGATAACGGTAATGTTAATGATAATATTAATGCAATACCTGCCTTGCCAAAAAACTACTTATACGAACTAAACTCGCATCAGCGCGCCGTTGATTATGATGTTCATAGTCACATAGATGACGAAGATGATGATGATAATGATAATAATTATAGCAATAACAGTAAAAAAAACTACAGAGAAAGCAACAATAACAATAGCCGTAGAAAAAGTAGTAATAGTATGAATAGTAGTAGGAAAAGTCAAAAAAGTAGTGATAACATTAACCCTAGTATGACTGATTATAGTAGTAGTAGTAGTAGTAACGGTAATTTTAAGTTTAGTCAACAACAGCAACAACCACAACAACAGCAACAGCGAACACTTAAACACAATAGACGTAGATATCGACGACGACGAGCCGTTGCTGCCAACGAAGCCACAAACGAACCAGAAATGACGGCTTCATCGGCAACGGCTCATGACGAAAACGACGAGGTGCTGCAACATAAGCATGTTGCTGCCGACATTTTTGATAAGCATGTTGCTCTGCAACAGCAAGAGCTTGATCAACGCGTGCGGCAGCCCGAAGGCATTTTGGCCATAAACGAAGTTAAAGAAATCGCCGCGGAAGTGAAAACAGCCTCCGCAGCGAGTTTCGAAAGCCAAACAAAATTCGAGATAACGAATACGAATACGAACGCGAATGCGTATAAAAATACATTAAATCCAAAAACGAATATGAAAAATGCGAATATCAATACGAATACAGATAAAATTAGCAACAACAAAGAAAATATTGCTAAAACTAGTGTTAATAGTAAAAATAATGTTAAACTACATGCAGATAACGGTGACTTCTACACAAGCACCGCTACTACCCGCATAAGTGATGTTATTGCCAATGAAGTTGAGGTTGCTGCTGTTGCTGTTGCTGGCACCGACGAGCGTTCGGCTCGTTCGGCAGCCGACGAAGTACATGACAATAATGTGCAGCGTAATTTTTTTTTTGATCGACGCTTGCCGTTTTTTCGTCAACATAGCATCAATAACAACAACAATAACAATAATAATAATCATATTATGCATATTGTTAACAATAATATTAATATGGATGTCGTAGCAAATGAAAATGAAAATGAAAATGAAAATATAAAAGATGAAGCTAATCAAATTAGTATGAATGAAATTGCTAATGCTTATCAAGCGCCACAAAAACAACAACAGCGACAACAACAACAACAACAAAATCTAATTAATAACAATAATAAAAATAATGCGGAAAATGTTGTTGTTGCTGTTGCCGGTGTTGGAACAGGTGTTATTGTTGCCGGTAATTTCGCTTTGGCTGCTGCACGCTTAGCAAACGCAAACAATTACGATAATCATAATGTTATTGATGCTATATACAACAACAACAACCATAACTACAATATAAATAATTATAATAATATTAATAATAATAATATTTACAACAACAATGCTAATCATATTATGTATGTCAATGCAAATTATAACGGTAATATAAATATATATAGAAATGGAAATATAAATAATATTTATGAGCATTTGTTAGCCGCTTATCATAAGCGTTTATTTCATAGCTTAAATTATGCTAATACTAATCACAATGTGAATAATAATAATAATAATTATAATAACGATGATGATGACCAAGGCGTTGCTAACACGGTTAATGATGATGATGATGATGATGATGATAATGATGAATGGAAAAGAAATCATAATAAATATGATATGACTATAGTACAATACAGTTATGCAGTTGTCTTTTATTAAATACAATCTAGGGGCGGGGTAAGAAATGGGTGGATGAAAAGGATGAGAAGAGAGATAATGAAATTTTAAAACTTTCTAGAAATAGATTTCAACATAGTGCGAGGTAAAGAGTAAGTATAAGAGTTGAGAAATTACCACATGCAGCGAGGGGTCAGTAAAGATAACATCCAAGGTGAGATTCGGTTCGCATTTGTACGGATAATGGACACCAATATTTTCATCATGTTTAGAAGATAAAATATGGTGGCTGTAAGATGAAGTACCGAAGGGCTCTTCTTCAGGTCTTAATTCGTAAAAACTCAGTAGGAACTTTCTGTAGACTGAGCATTTTTTATTTATCACGGCGTAGAAAATCCTTGCGGCATTTCCTGCCGCGATGCGAACACGTTAGCGTACATTTGACCGAAAAGGTACAATAATCGGAAGCAATCTTGGATAAGAAGCTAACCTTTAGGACAATCATCGACAAAGGAAGGTTGGTCTAGCGAGCACTACTGGCGGAAAGACCGCCGGAGAATATTCCGCCGATTAAAGGGTCCGAAAACCCAGAATTTGTATCTCCAGACATTTCCCAGCGTAAGTTTAATATGGCTTCGAAGGGTCACTCCTAAAAGGCAAATTAATACTTACTCAGATAGCAATGCCACTACTACGGCCCTGTCTTGACGGATGATCAGTTTAAGAACTAATTCATTATTAGCCGTAAACAATATAAATATCAAATAATTTTCCTATCGTGCCAAATATAAATCGTTGGGGAGCTGCAAAGCTAATCCTTTTGCTTATATGGATATCACCGCTTCGTTAATGCTGGACAAGGCTTGAGTGCATACCCCTCTAATAAACTCAGATCTGCTTCTGCTTGAACCAGCTCAGTGAGTACAGAACTTATGCACGCAGTTGCAAGATTCTCTCACCAAACATGGACGTCAATGGTCAGGGAAATTTGTTGTACTTTCAAGGTGAAAACTCTCCTACATGGTGGAAGTTCTAACGGATCATTGTTCTATATATGTATATATACCACGGTGAGGTTTAGGAATTTGTCTCCATTGTCAAAGTTGTTTCAAGAAAAAGACGAAATAATTTTACGCACGTTCTTCTAAAATGACCCAGTCGAATACTTCTAGTCTGAGATCTAATGAGATTTATTTAAATTAAAAAGGAACTAAACTAACCTTAAATACATAACCTACAAATAATCTCAGCATTTCAACCATTTCCTTTTTTTTTGGTATATTTTTTTTTTTGGTTTTGTTGCAGTTGTTCTAAAACACATGAATTCACCAAGTGAAGTTACGAAATTAAGCACGTGGCAAATACTTCAATTAAATGCCTCAATAAACTTGTAACGAGTAGGTGCTTCTTGAAAGAATTCTTAATTCAAGAGCCACCAACAGTGTAAACAATTTTATTTACATTTATTACGAAGAATTTGAAGAGTGCTGTTGCGAAATACGTGTATTTTATATAATGAAGGAGAATTTTCGCTGATAAAAGAGACTAAGAGCAAAGTAAGTAAATAAAATGCCGCTTGGAACTTCAAAGCCTTGGCATACGAGCAAAGTAAATATGCATTAAAAAGTATATAAGCAAATTAGAAAAGATTTGTAATGTTTTTGATGGCAGTTTAGGCATTAGATGGCTGATTTTTTGTATGAACTTACATCTGAAGAAGTTCCAGAAGGAGATATACACTGTGAAATGTTTACCGGACTGACGAGATGAATTGACCTAGTGATCACAATAACAGAGCAGCTAAAAGTGCATGACATCAGCTGAAGTACACAGAGAGTTGAGATTAAATGCGGCCGCTCCGAGTCAACGGAGCAACGAGTCGATAATAACGCTACAACTGGAGACACTAAGTAAAGTCAGGACGCTCTCTACTCACTTTTTCCAACATAGTGGAGATCTTAAATTTCGTACGTACGCCAGCCAGCGTAACCAGATAAGTGATAGAATTTGCCGAGCAATGCCAATATCGTGGCATACTTCAAGCAACCCATTGAGACATCATCGCGGTACACGTCGTCGTATTTAAACAGAGGACCATAGTTTCTTAGGCTGCTCATTCACGAGATCCCTTGATCGAACGCGAAATTTCTCTCTCGAAAAGCCATAATCTCGGACTCATCTGATGAGTTTACATTTTAAAGTAGCACAGATTTGCTAGAGTGATTCCGCGTTGGAGATCAAGGTTGAATTGCTATTATGCTGGTTCAAGACTAATTAACTTCGGGTTACTTTTCAGTTTGTCGAAAGCAGAAAAAAAAAGACAGCTGTTGAAGCCAAGATTCATTCATGTATACCGTTCCTTTTCAGCTGACAAAATCGGGTCTAAATTCTTCTCAAGTGTATTTTGAAACACTGGGCACAAGACAAATGTCTATCTGAACCAGTTCTCAGTTCTCAGTGAATAAATCTTCGAAGAATTAACATTAAATTATCAAGAATGTGCTATTATTAGATTATTTTTTGTTTCATTTTATATAAATCGAAGCAGTTTTTCTACAATAAAAGTGTAAAACGAAGTTAATTTTTATTTCATTGAAACAGGAAATTAACCAATTCCCGACGATTAATATCGAAGTTATTTGATGTCCGTAACACTTTTTTTTCTCTTGTCACTATCTTCCTCCTCCTCCTCACAACAAAGCTTCTAAATTCTAACAACTATTCTACTAAGCCAACGCTTAACGAAGCTTTCATAATCCATTGTGTGGTTCAAGGCTTCCGTAACTTCATGGTATCCACCAAAGCCAGACTTGTCTGCATTAGCACAATGTTTTACATACAAACATAAGTGCAGTGACATATTGTAATAAACGAAATAAAGTGTAAAAGACTTAAATAAATGCCTATCTGGTATTAACCTGTTTTCTCAAAGCAGGCTAACACAAAATGCCAATTCAAATTCAACAAATACCATATTTTTTAATGGCGATAACACACATAGAGAGACAGAGAGACAGAGGGAGTGAGGGGGAGGGGGAGTGAACAGGCGAAGCGATGCATTAAATTAATACATCAAACAAGTCATTGAAAGATGCAAATAAATATGATGTGCTTATATATATACACATAACGTATTTAATATGAATAAATATATATATTCATTAATAGCTAGTATCGAAAAAAGAATGGAGACTAGTCCATACAGCAAGTGAACTAGTCTGAAAACAATCAATTCATGGCAAAACTAGCATTTGATTTTGATAATTTTTATATCTTAAATACCGTTTTTAAATAAAATTATGGGCTTTTTTTTTCAAAAGAACTAGTAACATTTTTGTGCATTTTGTGCTAGTATGGAACTGGTATACTGCTGTTCTGTTTTGATATAAACAGAAAATTAGATTGTGGTGTGAAAACGATTTAGTTACATATTGGTTCATTATGAGCTAGTATGATACTGATATATTTCTGTTCTGTTCTGATATAAACAGAACGTTTGATTATATTGTGAAAACGAACTAGTTACAAATTGGTCCAGTTTTAACTAGTATGAAACTGATATATTTCTGTTAGAAACTAGACAATTGGAAATTATTATAATAATAAATTTTTTGCTTCAAAAAAAAAAAAAACAAATGCAGTTACAAGTACGCTAACTAACCATAATTAGCGCCCTTTCCTGCCGGGTACATAATTAAGTTTGTATGTATGTAAGTAAGCGCATCGAGTCAAAGTCAACGACGTGGTAGCTCCTCGATAAGTTAATAAAACGAACGAACAGTTAACACTTTAATGCTTGAGCTCAACAATTCAGAGGCCAACCAATAAACCAACCAACCTCCAGCCTCTCCCAGTTGCACATAAATCAAATGTGATCGTATATTAACGCATGCCAAATGATATATGTATACAAATATTTATACATTTGTATATACTACATAAATATAGTGGAATTTACATACTACACTTACATGCACACGGCTAAGGTAATTTGTCAAAAAGCGAAGATTCTCCAACGATATAATCAACGCCATTTAATTAGATGCTGGAATTGTTGACCGCAGGTGAGGCTCTCCACACCAACGCCTCCTCTACCCACCGCTTTCACACCAAACATAATTTTCTTATTAACATTTCTTTCATTCCTTAGAAAAAAACGCAAAATGAAATATGACAACGCTTTGGTAAACAATGGACTAAGTACGCTATTGAAGAATGGAAATCAAAAAAAAAAAATTGAAATTTCAAAAATAAAAGATTAAAAAAAAATCAAAATAATAGAATTAAAAAGTAAAAAACTGGAAGCTGCTGTCTTCATAACACCTGTATGCATACCAATAGTGCACACAACCGGCTTAACAGCGCGCTCGAGGCGTACTTACAGCGGGCAGTGCTGCAGGGTGAGCGGTCGGCGGTCGGCGGTGTAGACGCTACTACAGAACAAGTAAAAACAATTTGAGCTGCTTGATTGAAAATGAAAAGCTTGTTTGTGTGGAATTCCTAACTAATTTACATGTGTATACACGCTTGAATAACAAGCAAGCGGCGATGAGGCGCTGAAGCAGGAAACATACTCTCACATGACTATGTGCTAGAGGAAAGAAAGTCTGCGCAACCGCGGCGAAAAAATGCAGCTCATTAAAAAACTATAAATACACGCAATAGTCTCCATCAACCCATTCGAGCAGCGCAGCGCAGGGGTGCTGGCGGCCGAACGCGTGTGAATATATCCCGCTGCGCGCCGCCTGCACGACACAAATGAAAATGCAAACGTCAACTGTGCGTCATTATTACACTGCTTTTATTTAATTCTGGTCTCTTTCGGAAAAATCAGCTAGTGGTTAGTTGAGAAAACCGTTCTAAGCCACCAAGCTACGCATATATGCGTGTGTGCGCCAAGCCGCGCAGACAATGTCAACAACCAAATCGTGGTGAGCCGACAACCGTCAGCACTACTATCAAATACAACAACAGCCAACTTACGACATTTGTGAAATTCTTTGCCCGGTTCTCGGTTCATAGTGGCCGCTGGTCTGTTGGAC